CCAGAGATGAAGACGTGGCCGTGTACCAGAGAGGAAGACGTGGCCGTGTGCCAGAGAGGAAGACGTGGCCGTGTGCCCTGACAGAGACGCTATGTACAGAGTGGCTGGATCACCCCCGCGTCCACGCCCCTAACCAGTGCCGTCACCCTGGCAGAGCAAGCAACAGGGCCGACCACCGGGAGGGGCTGCGGGCAGCGCTAACTAGTGTGCAGTCCAAGCTGGACATGGGGGTCCGAGAAGACAATGACTCGTCCGGCCTCAGGGACCAACGCAGAAACCACTCTTCTCAGGGACAGCTGGGACTGGGCGACTGATCCGCTCCACCAGTCATCGGTGCTGCCTTTCGTGCGCTGAGAGACCAGCCAGTCCATTCCAACCCAGGAAAAGTGTCTCTCTAACGTCCAGGTCAAGGAAGGAGGGCAGCGGAGACCGGGAACGTGCTCAGGACTGAGACCATGCAAACGCCCGGGAGAATGTCCAGCTGAGCCAGGAGCTCCCTTTTCCCATCACTGGGCCGGTTTTCAGCGGCTACTTCCTCCGAGTGGACAGCCTGCTCCTTCTCCGTAGGCGGTTCTTAGTCTGGACGCTCGACAGGACCCTGCCCACCTGTGAGGACCCTGCTGGCGTTTTAAACACCAGTGACGCCACAGCAGCGCAAAAGCTGTCGACCTCCGGCAGACAGATACGGAAAGATCCAGACGGCCGAAAGGACAGACGGATCTGTCTTGACAGAAGCACAGCCAGCGTGCTCCTTAGAGGCAGGGACGGTGAGACTTAGGCATGTTGCCCCTGGAGAAGGACACCATGCTTGGCGGGGGACAGAGAGAACAAAGGCCCTGGATGAGACGCCTCGACACAGCGGCGGCAGCAATGGCCTGACACAAAGCAGCGCCCGTGGGACGGGGCAAGACCAGGCAGGGTCCCTGTACGTCAGAGCCCACCCGGCGGCAACACCAGCAACATCCGGATGGGCTCATACCGGTACCAGCAACAAGAACATCCACCCAGGACACGTGGGGCAGCGAGCCCCCTGAGTGGGGAGGGG